ATAAACTGTGTAATTCCTTCTTGCATTCTTTTTGAGATGGTTTTTCTCCTTCCAGGAGTACAATTTATCAAAGTCCTTTTAGTGAGAGCTTATTGATAATGTTTTTAACTTAGCTTTAAAAATGGGCAAAAGACATGAACAGATACCTCCTCAAAGAAGATATACAGATAGCAAATAAGCATATGAAAAGCTGCTCCACATCATATGTCATTATGGAACTTCAAACTAAAACAAGGAGATATTGCTCACTACACACCTATTAGAATGGCTAAAATCCAAAACGCTGACAACACCAAGTGTTGGCAAGAAGGTAGAGCAACGGGAACTCTCATGCATTGCTGATGAGAATGCCGAATGGTAGAGCCACTTTGGAAGACAGTTTGGTTTGTCAGTTTCTTAGAAAAATGAAACATACCCTTAACATTTCAACAATCAATAAGCAAATAACTTATATTCACACAAAAACCTGCACATGGATGTTTATAGTGCCTTTATTTATAATTGTCAAAACATGGAAACAGCCATAATGTCATTTAGCAGGTGAATGGACAAATAAATTGTGATATACATTCACAATAGAATATTATTCAGTGTTGAAAGAAATGAGCTATCAAGCCGTGAAAATGGAGGAATCTTCAATGCATATGAAGAAACCAACATGAAAAGGCTACATTCTGCATGATTCCAATGATATGATATTTGGAGAAGGCAAAACTATGAAAATAGCAAAAACATTAATAGTATCCAGGCAGGAGGGCAGAGGAAGGAATAAATAGGTGAAACATAACATAGACAGGTTTTAGGTCAGCAAAACTATTCTGTATGATACTATAATGGCAGAGACATGCCATTACATATTTTCCCAAACCCATGTTTTGGAAATGAACAACACTAAGAGTGAATGTACAACACTAGGAGTGAACCCTAATGTAAACTGTGGACCTTAGGTGATAATGACTTGTCAGTGTAGGTTCATGGATTATAACACATGTACCATCTTAATGCAGAGTGTTAAGAGATCAGGCTATGTGTGTATCGGCAGGAGGTATCTGGGAAATCTCTCAGTTACTGCTCAGTTTTGTGTGAACCTAAAACTGCTCTAAAAATAAACTCTATTTTTAAAAAGTATATTTCATTGATTTTTATTTGTTTTATAGAGAGGAAGGGAGAGGGAAAGAGAGTTAGAAACATCAATGAGAGAGAAACATCGATCAGATGCCTTCTGCACACCCCCTACTGGGGATGTGTCCACACCCAAGGTACATGCCCTTGACTGGAATCAAACCTGGGACCCTTCAGTCCACAGGTCAGCACCTATCCACTGAGTCAAACTGGTCAGGGCTGAAGTCTATTTTAAAAAAAAAATGCTTTTAATTCACCTTTATTTTATTTATTTTAAAAAATATATTTTTTATTGATTTTTTTACAGAGAGGAAGAGAGAGGGATAGAGAGTTAGAAACATCTGTGAGAGAGAATCATCGATCAGCTGCCTCTTGCACACTCCCTACTGGGGATGTGTCCGCAACCAAGGTACATGCCCTTGACCGGAATCGAACCTGGGACCCTTCAGTCCGCAGGCTCTATCCATTGAGCCAAACCGATTTCGGCTCATCTTTATTTTTGAAAGAAATGTTCACGCTTCACAGAATGCTAAGTTAGCCATTTCCCTATACTCAGCCTTGAGATAACATTCTGCTGTCACCAGTCTTTTGTGTTTTGCTGTTGAGGCCTCAGCTGTCAGTCTTAACTGCATTTCCTTTGTAGGCAATCTATCTTTTCTTTCTGGCTGCTCTTAAGATCAATTTCTATGGCCCACAAAGGAGTGAAGCTGCTGGGTCTAGGGTTGGGCACTTCCCAGAGTGCCATGGGGCGTACCTGCCCTGCCTCAGAGGTCCTGGCCAAGGCTATTTCGTGTGACTATTCGTGCTACTCTATGTCAGAAAACCCTGTGCCTCCTGAACTGGTTTCCCACATCTGTGTCAGCACTTTTTCATTTGAAAAATATTTTTATTGATTTCAGAGAGGAAGGGAGAGGGAGAGAGAGATAGAAACAGCAACGAAGAGAGAGAATCATTGATTGGCTGCCTCCCGCACCCCCACCCCCCCACTGGGGATCGAGTCTGCAACCCGGGCATGTGTCCTGACCGGGAATCGAAGAGTGACCTTCTGGTTCATAGGTTGGTGCTCAATCACCGAGCCCTGCTGGCCCGGCAGCACTTTGTTTTCAGAGGTACAACCTGCTCTTTCTAACTTCTGTGTGTTCCTAAAATAGAGAAGAAGGAGACATGCGACCTGTCTGCTCCTCATGCAGGTGGACACCTGTATCATCCCCAAGTGCCTGAGGAAATGCTTCCTTTTGGTGTATATTATGGATGGAATTGTATTCTCCCCAAATTCATGTGCTGAAGCCCTAGCCCTCAGTACCTCATCCTGTTGACTATGTTTGGGAAAAGGGCTTTTAAAGAGGTACGCGACAATGTGGTCTCTAGGGTGGGCCCTTATCCAACCTGACTGGTATACTTATGAGAAAGGGAGATAAATCCACACAGAGAGATCCCAGGGATGCACACACACAGAGGGAAGAACCTGTGAGGACACAACGAGGAGGCAGCCATCTATAATATCAGCCACGGAGAAACGTGAAGAGGAAACAACCCTGCTAGAACCGTGAGAAAATAAAGCTCTGTTGTCAAAGCCACCCAACCTGCAGGTTTGTCGTGGCAGATTACCAAGTGAATGCAGTGTTCACTGAACTCCAACCCCGCTAGATTGTCAGCAAGGCAGAGCTGGAATGGGCGGGGGAGAAGTTTGTTCTCTGAAGGCCCTGCAGGAAGCTTTGCGGTTATACAATACAATAGAGGTGAGGGCCGGGGTCTCCCACGTGAAAGTGGCCAAGTCAGACGGCTCCATCTCAGTGTTTGTTCAGATATCAGAGGCACCTGAGCCATTTCTGCCTGGTGCCTGCTTGCCAGGGCCTGGGCTGACCTTGTCTAGGAGCAAATCTTGCGTTGTGGTGAGAGGAAGGAAGGGAACGGAGCCATATCCAGGCTCTGAGCATTGATTCCTCTGCTCAGAGATAGCTAGTCCCATGGAATTTTTTGGCTTCTGTACTGGACTCTGGGAAAAATTGTTTGGAGGAAGATTGCTTCACAGGCACCTGCTCTGGTTGCCTGAGCATCGTAAGATGGAAACATCCTGGATTGCAGAGCCAGGATGTGGACAACTGCTCTGAAGGGTTGCCCAGGACCACACTATAGTAGACTCTGTGTGACTAAGAAACAAACTTTGGTTGTGTCCCCAAAGTTTGTTGCTTAGACACATCCCAGAATTCAGAGATGATCTGTTTCTGCAGCATCGCCTGGACTATGCAGACTGATACATGTGCAGGGATGTATAAGATGTACCTGGAAACACTGCAATATAAAAACAAGAACTCTGATAGAGAAATGTTCAAAGTAATGCAGAACATTGAGAAAGGAGCAACTAATACTGCTAGGCTAGGCAGGGAAGGAATCAAGAAGGAAGCATTTGAGCTGGACGGTGAAAGCTCAGGGAGAGGAATTACCATCTAGGAGATAATTCCATGTTCCCTATGTGGGGCAAGACTAATGTACTGAGTCAGTGTGGGCAAAGGCACACAGAGGTGGACATTCTTGGGGTGTCCTGGGAGGAATCAGACCTAGTATTTCCTCTAAAATGAATTTTTTAAAAAATCAATCTTTATTGTTCATATTATTACAAAGGTTCCTCATTTCTTCCCCCTCCCACCAGATTCCCACCTCACCCTTCGTCCCCTCCCCACCCCCCATTGTCCTCATCCATAGGTGCACAGTTTATGTTCAGTCTCTTCCTCCCTCCCTTTCCTCCCCTGAGAACAGTCAGTCCACTCCCCTCCCATATCACCGACTCTACTACAATGAACCGCTATTATTGTTCATCAGGTTTTTCAATCTCCTTTTTGTTGTTGTTGTTGTTGTTTAACTCATAAACTTTTACACTTCTAAGAATAAATTTTAAAATCTAATAATTTTAAACCTTGTTTTTTTTTCTGCCCTGGGAATTGAGAGCAAACTTGTTTACATGTAAATTTGCCCTTAGGCTATCAAAAGGTGTAGCCATTCAAGTGTAAAATGAATGTTTTCTGCACAGAACATTTCTCCATGGAACATATATACCTTTCAATACATTGCTTGTCTGCTAGTATTTATATACGGAAATATTATATGTATGTCCCCAGACTTGATGCATTTTTAACAAATTGATGGGAGGGAATTCAGCAGAGAAAATTTGTAGGTTCACTCTAAATATAATTGGGGACATAGAAAAGTTCATGGAAGACAATTAGGAAGGCTCTGAAGATCAACTAAGGGGGCCTGTAGCATGTTATACAGACAAAGCAGCCATGTTAATGGATTAGTGATCAGGGAGTATGGCTTTACATATTTACATCCTTATTTTATCACAATTTACAGAATAAATAAATAAATTACATACACCCCCCACACACAAATTTTACAACCTAATATGCAGGCCCTCCACACATAGCCTGTTCTTACACAGTCTGTGCTCACTTCAAGAATAAGACAAAGGCCAGCAACAAATTGAACCAGAGTTGTTATTTTTGTTTTATTGGAACACAGCCTGACATGAAATAAATAGTAATTTTCCACATTCTTAGTGATTTCATAAATAATATTAAGTTAACAGACATTTTACAGAATGTTGCATTTAAATAAGATTTTTAAAAAAAAGTATACATCCATTTGGGCTGGAGTGAATACTTCCCTGATTCCTGTATCTGAAATATATCTAGAATATTTTGTTTTGTTTTGATGTTTCCTGCCTCCTAGGTGAGGTGGTGGAGCAGCAGTATGCCTGAAATGCTTGCTACTTTGCCTCGGAAGCTTAATTACACTGAAGAGGAAGGCCCTGCCCTTGGTTGGCCCTCATTCTCATGGCAATAAAACATCCTTTATCGCTACCACAAGCACGTTGAGTCTCAACTTTCCATTGTCCACTCAGTGTTTATCACGCCAAGAAATACTTGCAGGTAGTCTAGGAACTTTTTCACTCTCAACCGTTCCCCTTCACACTTTTTCTGTGAAAAAGAACAGACAAGAGGTATTGTAGAAACCTGTCAATTCCTGTAAAAATAGGCCCAGCCAGACAAATAGGCTTAAGTTTCTACTAAATGTTTTTCACTTACTTTTTCACCATCTATGTAGTCTTTTATTGAAGACAAGTTTTGGAACAGTTTTTCCACAGCGTTCCCTTCTGCAGTTTGATTCCTCAGTGTGTCTATCCCCTGAAAGACTTCTTCAATACACAGTTGGTACTAAATGAGGTAGATTTTTAAAAATATAAGTAAGCAAATCAAGATCTAAAACATTGGTCCAAAAAAGCTAGACTTTGTTTTGTGATGTTTACATGAGTTTCTTTTTCCAAAGAAATTTGTTCTTTTTCTAGGTGGAACCAACTCATATTGGAATATAATTTCTAAAAGTAGGTGAGGTTTACTTAACTACGGAGGAGTTTTACAGATGATATAAAGTACTTAACCAAAAATGCAATGTTTAAGAAGGATAATGATTGACCTCATATCAGAGTTTCCTTTCATAGTTCCAGCTGGTAATTTTGTTCTATTCAGACTAATGAAATAATATATTTTACATTTTAGTATGACCATGACATACTCCAAATGCATGCAATTCTGTTACATGTCATGATCACTTTAAAATGTGGAAATGACTATGAGTATTCATGGTATGTGCACCGACCAAGATTCTAAAAGTATTACCCTAAGTTGCTAGTACTTTCAAAAAGACATTAAAGTGAGGAAAGCAATAGATAGTCAGAGTTGAATGGAGATGAGGAGGCACCTCTTACTTGACAACATTTCCAAAGGGCCTTGTTTAATGGATTCTACTTGTTATAAAGTCACTCCTAATATCTATGAGTACACACATTCACATCACATGCATAAAAACAAAACATAGACTATAAGTAGTTCCAATGATAACTATTGTTTTATAGCTTAAAATATGCAATTCACTTATTCATGCTACCGTAATTTAACTTACATTTTTATGTCCTGGAGTAGGAATCATCAGGTTCTGAAAAGGAAAGGAAATACATTCATTTGTAAAGCACTCTAGCATTCATCTCGTAATAAAATGATTGTGAAATGGTTACCCATCACCTATTGCTAACACTCATAATTTCATTGACAGATCTTTAAAAATTAACCGCACGGAGAATTAGCGATGCCTTCTAAAGGCTATAGGACTCAAAAAGAAAATTACCCCTTCGCCGATCAGTAGAGTCCGATGAGTGGAGAGCAGTGTCAAGGTCTCTGCCACCAGCCTCTTCAAGGGACTTTCTAGGGCCATGGCACCGATGTTGGCAGCTCCAAGAGCCAGAAAAGTCAAAAACAAAAGCATTCTCATGGCTCTGAAATGTTCAGCTATTGCCTTTGGCAAAGAAAGTGAATTGTGTAAGATTGTATCCCCAACCAATTTATTCTCTCTCTTTGAGGAAATGAATAATTTCCAACAATCAGATAGAGACTGTCTAATAATGGCATTCTGTGAAACTAAATGTTTCCAATGCCTTGTGTCTTAAAAAAACAAGTTTACTTTTATCTTTTAATAATAAAAATCCCTGTTTTTCCCCTTCAACCCCATTTTCCAATACAAAAGAAAATCTCTGGGTTGATACATCACTGCCCCACATTTGCATTTCTTAAACACAGATGATTGAATTTCCTCTTAAAAGATATTCATTAAAAAAAAAGAGAAGTATGGCATAAGCCACGAAAATAGAATTTTAGGCTAAAATACACAAATATTGGGAACTTTCTTTTCCCCTGAGGTTTTCTGAATTTTATCACAGTTATTCCTAGATTGACTTGCCTTACACGAAATTGAAAATACTGGTGAGACGATGGTGATTAGGGCAGAGATCATCAAAACGGAGCTGGCTCAGGTTGTGTTCACTGGGGTGCTGGTGAGGACCCTTTGTGCTGCCAGTGACCAAAACCCAAACCCAAACTGGTTGAAGCCTAATAGGGAATTTATTAGCTCGTATTACCAAATGGTCCAGTGTGGAGGCACCTTTATGTTTTGCTCGCCTCAGTGGCTCTTCTTGATTCCCTTCTCAGACAGCTCTCCCACTGTGGTCCCAAGACGATGTCAGAACTCCTGGATCAAGGTGAGTCCTGTTCTTGAGAAGTATATTATGTTTTTCTGAATGCTCAATCAGAAGTCCTACCACTCATGTATGTCCTTATGACAAAGGAACACATACATGTCTCTCTCTGGAATTGGAGTTGGGCTTCATCCCACCCAAATGTTTTGTGGGGTGAAATGGTTACCCATCATCTATTGCTAACACTCATATAAGTGTTAAGAAATTGGGGGTCGTGGGTATGTAGTCAGAGGGCTATGGATGCTGTGAAGTTGACCAGTCAGTATCCATCACAACGACATTATCAATGGGCATGGCCTCTCCTTCATGTCCAACAAGGGTGGGGATGTCCTTTCGCACCCTGGGTGGGTCAGGTCTGATCAGAGGACTCTCAGGCTCAGACCTGTAATCCCAGAAGGGAGCTAATGAGGCCTAACTACTCAACCACACACTTCCTGCTCCCAGGCCTGAGCACACATATGGAGCTGTAAACCTTCAATGGAGGTTTTCAGTCAGTGTCCTAGAGTGGGCCTGCGTTGGTGCCTGGAAGCCTGACTTTAGAAGGATCTTGAGCCAAAACCGGTTTTGCTCAATGGATAGAGCGTCGGCTTGGGGACTGAAGGGTCCCGAGTTCGATTCCGGTCAAAGGCATGTACCTTGGTTGCGGGCACATCCCCAGTAGAGGGTGTGCAAGAGGCAGCTGATCGATGTCTCTCTCTCATCGATGTTTCTAACTCTCTATTCTCCTTTCCTCTCTGTAAAAAAACAATAAAATATATTTAAAAAAATAAAAAATAAAAGTGGTGTCAGACATCAGGGGCACCTTTCTGTAGCATGTCTGGTTTTGTTTGTGCTGAAGTTTGGGACTCTTGGTTAGACACAGGTGATTTGAACCCTTGGAAGGCCTGTAAACTGCAGCAGGTATGACCTGTCTACAGGTGGCAGGTGCTACACAGCCCCAGCTGATTGTTGCCATGTGACACCCATGGCCTTATGTTGCCAGATCATCAACTTTTTCTTTTCTTTTTAATATATTTTATTGATTTTTCACAGAGAGGAAGAGAGAAGGATAGAGAGTTAGAAACATTGATAAGAGAGAATCATCGATCAGCTGCCTTCTGCACACCCCCTACTGGGGATGTGCCCGCAACCAAGGTACATGCCCTTGACCGAAATCGAACCCAGGACCTTTCAGTCCGAAGGCCGATGCTCTATCCACTGAGCCAAACTGTTCCCAGCAGATTATCAACTTTTTCAAACAAAGCCAGAAATCTTTATCATACGTATAATCGCCTGATTTTTCAATGTTGGCAAGTCATATTTTCAAAAACCATTAAGTGCGCCATTTTGCAGCCTCTGATTTACAGTATAGTTGTGGATCCCTAATGGAGGGCTAGTTGTTGTTGTTGTCGTTATTTTGTTAATCCTCATCCAAGAATATTTTCCATTGATTTTTAAAAATATATTTTTATTGATTTCAGAGAGGAAATGAGAGGGGGAGAGAGAAACATCAATGATGAGAGAGAATCATTGACCTGCTGCTTCCTGCACGCTCACACCGTGGATTAAGCCTGCAACCTGGGCATGTGTCCTGACCAGGAATTGAACCCTGACCTCCTGATTCATAGGTTGATGCTCAACCACTGAGCCATGCCAGTAGGGCTCCATTGATTTTTATAGAGGGTGGCAGGGACGGGGAGAGACAATCAGTACATGAACGAAAGGCAACCCATCAATGTTTCTCCTTCACATCAATGTTTCTCTCTCTCTCTTTCTCTCTCTCTCCCTTTTTCTCTCTCTCATCAATAATCGTGTCTTTGGGTAAAGATTAAAAAAATAACATTGCACATTGAAAAAAAATTAATAATTTTTTAAATTATTATTATGAAAGAGTCTTTGTATTCCATAAATGTCTTACACTTGGGACCTTTGCCTTCACCACTAGACTGTGAGCTCCTTAAGAATAAGGATTTTATTTGATTGATCTCTTCATTCCCAAGGGCCAGCCTATTGTAGGCACTCAATTAATGCTTGTTGAATAAATAATTGAATGATAAGCAGGTACTTGGTTGTATCTGTTGAACAAATTAATATGAAAACTGTAGAAATTCAAGGAGTCGAGGGTCTCCTAATGAAAAGATAGAGCAAAACTTTAAGGTTAAGCTAGAGACCAAACCAATATGAATTACCATGGCATTTTTAAAAATCCACATTATTTTAGGAGAACAGAAAGAAATTAACAACCAGTATGCAGAATTAAGAATTATAAGTAATTACATCATTTAGAAAAAAAAGATGTTGAAAAGGTATGAGTAACATTCATCCTTTTGCCCTAAAACCTTCCAAATTGGCAACTCATTTTTAAAAATTGATACCTGTGGTTTTTACTAACTGTGTAGTCACTTAAGGTCAAGTGACTTTTCTATGAACTGATTTTAATCAATCTACTGGGCATGATGCCACAAAATTTTCTTGGTGACTAAATGTAAAATGATAGTATCTCTTTCTTCTTTTTATCTTAATCTAACCCCCATCTTTTCAATCCTCAAGCATATGTTTAAAATAAATTTTTATTGAGTAAATAACACTATAGGAAAATAACAGAACTTCCTTTTGGCCTCGCAACTATCAGTGTTTTTTTATTTTTTTATTACTTCTTCCAATCTTTACTAACACAGATAGCTTTACTGTTTATCTTTTTGCTTAATTCTTCATGTACCTATTTGTTTATTCTCAAGGTTACCTGTTATTAGATGAGAGTGATATATCATAATTTACTTCACCATTTGGGTTGTTTCCAGCATTCCATAACTTTATCATTTTTTAAATACTGTATAATTTCTTTATGCTAAGGAACGTGTGCAATAATTTAGCTCTTGTTACATTTTACCAGATCACCCCCTCTGAAAATATTCAATGCACAAAAAATAAATCTCTTATATTTTAACAGTGTTTCGCAACTTATAAAGTACTTTCCAGCTCTCGGCCTTAGCGCCCTCTTCTTAGAAACCGCTGCGCCATGAGAGCCAAGTGGAGGAAGAAGCGAAAGCGCAGGCTGAAGCGCAAAAGAAAGATGAGGCAGAGGTCCAAGCAAATCGCAAGTTGTGCACCCGGAAAGCCAGAGGCCAGGGGCCCGGTCCAAGCTGTCGGGCTGCCTGCCTGCTGACTCTAGAATGTCTCAGTGGGACCTAGAACATGCATACGGGCCATCTGAATGCACGGCCGCCTTTTGAGAGACCCACCTGCTCTTTCAAAAACAGTCTCTTTTGGATCTTTGCCCTAGACCCGTGACGTTCTGGACTAGTTCTGTTCTCAGTTGTGGCTGAATGTAACGTGCACAATAAATCATCTCCTGTCTTAGCTGAAAAAAATAAAATAAAGTACTTTTTAAAAAGTTCATTGTAGCCGGGACCAGTTTGGCTCAATGGATAGAGCGCCGGCTTGGGGACTGAAGGGTCCCGGGTTCGATTCTGGTCAAGGGCATGTACCTTGGTTGCGGGCATATCCCCAGTAGGGGGTGTGCAAGAGGCAGCTGATCGATGACTCTCATCGGTGTTTCTGACTCTGTATCTCTCTCCCTTCCTCTTTGTACAAAATCAATAAAATATATTAAAAAAAAAAAAAAAAGTTCATTGTAGTCAAAACTGGTTTAGGTCCCAGGTTCGATTCCGGTCAAGGGCGTGTACTTTGGTTGTGGGCACATCCCCAGTGGGGGGTGTGCAGGAGGAAGCTGATCCATGTCTCTCTCTCTCATCGATGTTTCTAACTCTCTATCCCTCTCTCTTCCTTTCTGTAAAAAAAATCAATAAAATATATATTTTTTAAAAGTTCATTGTATCATTTCTAAAATATCTCCTTATGTTAGGGAAATTGTGTGATAATTTTTTTTTTTTTTAGCTTTTACTACATTTTATAAGATCACCCCTCTGAAAATATTCAATGCACAAAAAATAAATCTCTTATATTTTTATAGTGTTTCACAACATATAAAGCACGTTCAAAAAATAACTTTGCTTAATTCTGATATCAGCACTGTGGGATAGATTTATTTCCCTGGAGCCTCTTTAGTGTTTAATGATTTTGCTAAAGGAATGAGTGAAATGAACCTAAAAGGAAGGTATGGTGCCAGAAGTGGTGATAATCAAAGAGATTGACAAATATGTTGGTAAACCTAAATAAATAATGCTGGTTACGAACAATTTATTTATGGGGTTTCAAGACAATGAGGAACAGACACTAAATAATGATCATGTAGGAGATA